TATTATTTTATTATCATTATTACCATTATTACATCCCAGAAAACATGCAGACAGAAACTTTTAAAAATGACTGTGCCACTCTGGAACTGAACTCACGTCTTCAGTTTAAAAAGGTAAAGAGCCTAATAATAAACATTTACACTACGCACGCCAGTGAAACTCGTCATTTGAATTTTTGAAAGCAAAATACAGAATTATTTTTTGTAACTTTTTTTTTTGTGTGTGGGTTTTTGTTTTTTTTTTGTTGTTTTTTTTTTGGGGGGGGGGGTGGAGGGGGTTTTTTTTTTTTTTTTTTTTTTTTTGGGGGGGGGGTATTTGAATGCGTCGCACAACGACATGGGCTGTTTAACATTAAGATTTGATTTTTTTTTTTAAGTTTTGATTTAAGACATCATTTATAGTATCTTTGACTCACCGTTTTGTAATTAACATGTAAAGTGCGAATGGATTGAACGAATTTCTTTAGCGAACAGCTTCGAAAAGCCAAACCATTAAACCACAGACACCAGCAAAGATCATTTCTGAAAAGTTGCACAAATTTTAATTACGCATCCAGGCTTTTATAAAATTGCCAATAAAATATGTTCCATGACAAAAGAGAAAAAATTTGATTCTTAAATGTAATAAGATTCTTTAATTTTAAAGTTTTAATTGGATGAAACATGCATGTTTTTTGACTCACCATTTGGAAAGATATAAAGTACGTTAGTATCCATAGTTTTGAAGCTGTTCAGAACGTTTTAGTTTGTTTGCTTTTTTAAATGCTTTTTCGTAATCCAGTTTTGAGTTCACGCTAGTTCTGTTAAGTTTCTTCTCCAGTAAGTTTGAAGTGGAAACTGGGTAGAGAGAAGCGGGTAGCCGCTTCCCACGTGGTGAGGGGGGCGGGGTGTTGTGTCGTGGCCAGTCCTGGTTCCTGGGTGAGTGAGAGTGCGTGTGTCAGAGTGTGAGTGAGGGGGAAATGGGGGAGAGGGGGGCGGGAAGAGGGTGAACGGCGAGACAGAATAGAGGTTTGGTGGTTG